CAACACAGGATGGCACACGAAGGGCGGCGAGCTATCGGACAACTTAAGCGGGAAAATTGTTCAGTTCAAAGTGGAACAAAATTTCAACAAGTCCATGGATAAATGTAAACAAATCGTCTATAGAAATGGTTGAGGTAGAGTCGGCTTTGTATAAAATAGACCGGTTCAGTCTTGAAACTTGAGCAGTCACGGAAGGGTGATGAACTAGCCTGAGGAATAGGGAAACAAGTAATTACGTCACGTAATTAACAGGTATTTTGTCAAGTATGTACAGGGAGTGGCCCGAACTTGACGGGAGGAACACCCTCTATCGACCGCATGGAAAAATAATGATGAATGAACCTCAAATTTCCACAATACACTGAAGCTGGAGCATCACTTTTGTTACGCTCTTCTATACTGACTTCAATGTAACAGACAATCCAGCACCCACTGGTATGCCATTAAGAAGACATCACCCTATGAGCGCCAATGGGAGTTCTTCCGGAGACTCTTGTTTATGACCAGGCTTGTGCGCCGCTTTAAGGGCTTCGATATGGAACTTCTGTTCACTGAGGGGAAGGGGGTTATGCGAAAGTGTGTGCTTTCACTTCACCGCATTCACCGACTGCCTTGCTAGCCTTTCGTTGACTTGCGTTGAGGGACGTTTGATCAATCCTGTGATGCAGTTTTCGAATATGTAGGCCGTCTTGCCCACGGAAATGATGTTTTGCATAAGTCCTCGAGTTCTGCTATTTCTCTTCATCCTACACAGTTGTATGGCAAGCATCAGTTACTGCCGTCCGGGATGATAGTGGCTACACGGTCGTAATGGTGGTCTCGGCAACTGATAGTCTATTTCGAGCTTCTCTATTCTGCCTATCTGTAGAGACCGAGGTCATGGTTGTAAAATCTTGAGCGTCTGTAAAGTGACCCGCTGTAAAAATACCCGTTTGTTTAAACAATGAAAAGTAGTTCTGTAGGAAGTTCTACCCCAGGAAGAGACCAACTAGCAAACGGGATTGCTTGTGACTAGATCTTTGATGTGGCTCCTTTGAGAGAGTAGGCATGCAATTCTATCACTTTAATGCTGGGACATTTTGGGAGAGGTTGCTTTTCATAGATCTTTCAAGTCACTTTCCTGGAGCAAGAGAGTGCTGTGGAGTTGTCCCAACCTTAAAACTCACCAAACGCGATTTCATTTCATACTTGCTATCCTCTTGGAGGGACTTGACTGTTTGAATAACTCACAATCGACCAACCTCTTGTGGTCTTCGAACGATGCTTCTTACAGAAGGATATATGCAGACGAAAATCGCGTTATTCACTCAGAAAAACAGTATTCTCTTCGTGTCATGGTTCAGACCCTTATTTGGTGTAGAGGTGCATAAAAACACAGCGCAGGAATTTCGCACCCTGGTCTCTCTTTGGAACAGTGTTTTGCGCAATGCAGCGGTCTTTGTCTTGCCTTTAAAGTCATTCTCACGGAACCGAAGTGAACGGGTCTTGAGTGGGTGTTTGTTTTCTCTTTGGGAGAAATATGAATCTAACGTTTTGTACTGTTTATGCACAGAGGCTTGTGTCAACAAACTATTTGTGCTGACGTTCGTTTTCATTTTGCTTACCCCTCGATCATTCCGCTTGGTTCGAGAGTCAATTTTGAGATGTGCACTACCCAAAATTTGACGTCATCCTCTCTTCACTTGTGTGCTCAAATTGCTCAGGTGTTGGGATGCACGTGAACCGTTATGCTAGATTTTCCTGGTCGAATTCTATTACGCTTCATATGGAAGTCTTCACTCTTTTGGGGAAATTCAAGAAAGAATAGCTTGGAAATATGTTTCAAATAGAACATAAGGTTGGCGGAAACTCGGGGACTGAGCGAGCCTCAAGAAGGGCGAAACCGGTTATGGGCTGTTGAAGAACTTACAGCAACAAGCCAGCAAACAACGTGGAGTTTTTTCGTTTATCAATCCTATTCTTTTGCAAACCAACTAGATGTCCATAAAAGAGGATAAATCTTGCGTTGCACGAATTACCATTCAACCCAAGACATTCGTACCCTGCGGAGAATGGCAAGCCACATGAATCGGTAACCATGGCAACTCAGCATAATATTATGTTGCATGAGGATGCTAATAGGTTGGCTATGGATCCTAAACAAGATCGTAAAACTGGACGAAACGCATAGCTGAAGCGTCAGCTGGTTTGCCAGTTGACAGAAGAATCGTTCGGCCGTAACACCCTTTCAGTGCCTAGCTTCCATGCCAACTGAAGGAAACACGATAGCTGCAATACTGTCAGTTTGCCCGAGAGGGAGTCGAGAGGGTAAGGCAATCGGAACAACCCACACAGGATCAGGTAGCTCGTGGATTGAGGTAGACGAACGAGTTTTGACCAAATTTGAAAATTAGTTCAATTGTTAAATCGACAGAAAGGGTAAAGCCATTTTCAGATATTGGTCTCCAGAACCGAATAGGGGTCGCTCAGTTCTGATCGCGTATCCAGTTTTCGGTGCTTGGGTTTATGCATTTTTGACTGACCATTGTTTTCTTTGATTTATTTCCACTAGCGACCGTACCAGCACCATCATAACGATTACGCGCTCGATCAGGACCGAAATTCAACTCAGTCTGCGCCACGAATGAGTAAGTTCCCTGTCGGGTTTCCTCCTTTCTTAATCCTTTTTGGTTATGGCCTTCGCCGTACTTTTCCGCTTTCAATGATGATTCCCACCTGAAACAGTAGTGTATACCTGCCCGACTCAGGCGAGGCTGGTACGCATGGGCGATGGGGAAATCGTGCGGCGAATCGGATATCACTTTGAAGACATCTGGTTTCGGTGTCCACATAAACCATTTTATTAAACTCAGATAGCGTGGGTCATCCGAAACCAAGCATCGAATCGTTTGTGAGCGTACTTGTATGGGGGAACAAATACTGCCTATCCGTGAATCTTCTCGGTAGACTACTCTAAAATGGCCTATTTGTTGCTGACTGCTGCAGTTTTGTTCTGTTAGTTCAAGGCTTCTCAATATGTTGGAGAAAAGAAATTTCCTATTCGCTTTGCAGCTGCGACTGCGATTTCGTTCGTATTGCTTCTTTCACGCGGATCACCAATACGTGTGAATTGGGTGCAAAGCTGACTCCTATTCGTAGACGCGAAATATGCGCCAAGTGGTTTAGATAGAGACGAAAAGGAAGCAAAATGGCGTGGGTGACTCCAGGCAAATCGCTGGCTGTCGTGTATTTCAACTTTGTAATTTCACATTATTTTGTCCTAAGTAATTACTAATGCAAGAGGGGTATTTGTTAACAGTTCCCAACCGCGACCCTAGTACCTCGGTCTCCTACCCCACTGTCTCTTTCTCGCTAGAATCCGCTCCTGAAGCGCAAAAATTCACCGAACTGTACAAATTTGCTGTTTTACCGATGCGTGAGCATAACCCTACTTGAAATCTAAGTCAATCTGAGGCCGGTTTAGGGGTGGGGGGAGTGGGGAGGGCAACGAAGTGTAAACTGTTCTTCAATAAAGTAGTACTTGAGACGTGTTCCGGTTGACACTCCGACTTCCCGTTACCCATAGTGCATGTTGCGCCTTTATACCACTCACTTCGAACAATGTGAACTGCAAAACACCTCGTAAGGGAGTTGTAGAACACCTGCGTAACCCAAACTATTTGCGCTCACCTTCCGAGTATCCGTATGTTCCTAACACACAGGCGTTAATAGATATGGTTCTCTAAGCTGCTTATGAAGCACGAATAGTCTGTTTGCACACCGTGTCCGTCCATTAAAGGTGTGTCATATCAGGCCCATCTTCCAGCGTCCGGTAACACTGAATTTCATCCTGTCAGTGAAGCCGGTCCATGCTGACAAGCCCAGAAGCACTGTACAGCTGTTTCATCGGAATCATCAGCGGTGCACATCTCACGAAACAATGTTTCCAACGCGCAATCTTCCGGCCAGTGGTTAAACGCTTAACCGTTCGTCCACGGGTGGCTGATCAGCGTTGGACATACCACCCCTCATCCTTCAATCACAGAAACCATATCATGAGGTCATATTGACTGACTCATCGAGTGACGACCTCTCACATCACGCATCCGGTGAAAATATCCCCCCTGCTGCTTATTGTCTTATTTTAGGGGGAAGAGATTCGGTAATATTCAATGATATTCGGTTGATGTAGTCGGACTGTTGATTGCCACTCAGGAAAGTAAATCATTCGTATTTTGTGACCCACGAAGCTCTGTTCTGTGCCTCTGTTAGCGTTCCTTAACTTACATACTGCCGCGACTTCTTCCATTTTCGGAATATCCACCTTTGCATTATGACTCTTCTTCTACGTGGGGTGCATCGGGCGTTATGTTAATGGCGTGGAGAGTTCTGGACTTCCCAAATGAGATTTCGTTGTTTTAGGTGAAGTCAGTCTGTACGGAAATGCCATCTGTGCACGTACGGCTGTTTCATCATTGCAGGAAATCATCGGCAGTGTGCAACTCACTAATCCTCAGAGAGATTCGAACCCGCGACTTCCTGGCTAGTGGTCGGTCGTTTGGCCACCAGCGGTGATCAGCAGTTTGACTCGTAATTGGACAGGGTTAATTGGCATACCTTCCTCAGTCACACGATTCACACGATCACGTGTTGACTGACTGATCGAGTGACACCCGAGAAAGATGAATTCTTTTTGTCTGAGGAATCGTGACTCCAGGAGCCAGTCGTTATGTAACCACGAGATGTGAATTCCCTGACTGAAAGATTAGTGACGCTATATCCTGTCTGGGTGTGAGCTGATCGCACTGCTCATCAGCCGTACGGTGCCCGGAGGAGCCCGAATCTCTCTGGAGGTTTATTTGCACACAGTTAATAATTCAGATTAGGATGGAACACTGCTTCTCTGTCTTTGATCGTCGCGGGTAAAAATGGTAAATAAACCTTTTCTCGTTGCTGATTGAGATAGAGCCAACAGACGGCCTCTTGTTTCTCCCTAGGATGCGACACGATCATTGGCACGGTGTGCGAGGACGTCGCTGCTCCATATAGTTTCTGTAGTTTGTGTTCATAACACAGAGAGAGCATTGGCCTGGAGTTTTGCTTTTGTTGCATTTCATAAGGGGTGCCTACCTCTGTTTATGGTCAACCTTTCACTTCGACGATTGTCATAACTGCTAACTCTCCGTATTTCTTGGAAAGCGAGTCGTCCTTGTGACCTCACTGGTCAGCCTATTTTCGGTTTCCTTCTCAATAGGCGTCCAGACAGGATGATTCCATAGTTGATTTCGGCACATCTTGGTCCGTCAGTACTATTAGTTTTGTCATGGTATCTGGAACAAGTATTTTTCCAATGGATAAATGTGCCTTTTGGTTGGGCTATTAAGAAACCACGTAGGTATAGATTGACGGTTGGAGGAATGCTAGTGTATTCATTTTATCCTTGTTCGTTCTCGTGCTTCGTTTTTCCGTTGAGATCTCGGGGTTGGCAGGATAGCCGCTGCTGCATATACCGCCACTCTAGCTCCAAGTATATGATAATCGCTTGGGAACGATTGTGGAAAAGCTGTCCGGAATCAGTGGGAATCGGCAGCCCATTGTGCGCTTGATTCCATGCGGTTAGAAGTGGATGGTTTTTTTAGGGTGCTTCAATTGAACACATCACCTACAGCGCGAGGGTCATCGGGTAACGACCCAGAAAGATCAGCGATTTGGTTCTGCCTTAGACTCTGAGAAGACTGGGTTATCTGGACACATTCCGGATGTACATCACGGTGCTCTACTTAATCCAGATTACCTGGAAGCCTTGTGCACGCAGAAAGCTAACCGAACTATAGAACGAATTGATATATCTAATCTGTTCTGCCTAAGGAAGCCGGTTTGATAACCTCGAAAGTGATTCACAGCCCCGATTTCACAATCTCGGTGGCTCCAGTTTCGCTTCATATCGTGTATGAAGTCTGTTGACATCAAAGCACCACAGGTCAACACGCATCGAAGCGATCTCAATTGTTTCCTCCGTCAGGAATAAACTAATCTAAATAAACAATCGTGTTTGGTGCTGAGTGGAATGCCGGTGCAATACTTTTGTTCGAGCGAAAGCTGACGAAGATGTAGCACCTATTTCAGCCAGCAGTGCTTTGATCACCCTAAGAACTACACGTTAGAGTTCAGCGTAGTTATTCGAGCGTGTCTGAAGAGCGCGTTCGTTCCAGGTATGATAGGTGGAATCCCGCACCGAAACCGCTTTATTGGTCGCCCTTAAGCACTGCTACTGCCAAGAAGCCTATCCAGAAGATCGGGCCACTTGCCGTCCAGCACCAAGTCATGGGCTGATTGGCCATAAGTGGGGATCCGACAGAGAATCCCTGTCCAGTATCCACTGACTGCCGGTTGCCTATGGTTGTGCGTCTGTAGGGCGTCGGAATTTTCAGACAGTCATCATCGCGTGCGCTGTGCATGTGCTTTTGACCTGTTATTGGTCGCCTTAAGCGCTGCTACTGCCAAGAAGCCTATCCAGAAGATCGGGCCACTTGCCGTCCAGCACCAAGTCAAGGTCTGATTGGCCATAAGTGGGGATCCGACAGAGAATCCCTGTCCAGTATCCACTGACTGCCGGTTGCCTATGGTTGTGCGTCTGTAGGGCGTCGGAATTTTCAGACAGTCATCATCGCGTGCGCTGTGCATGTGCTTTTGACCTGGTTTTGGGTGTTTATTACTCGTGCACCTTTGGTGGTTTTTTGACCAAAAACGCTGGTCTGGCGGGTTAAGACCGAAAACTAAGCAGAAGCAGTAGGGTTATTATAGTTGTCACAGCCTCTCACTAATAACTTGGCGGATAGAAAGGAACTATCCATAGGTTACTTGATGCTGAGTTGTTCAGGTTGCTTGTTGAACTGGTAAATTGAACAGCTATGTCATGAAAGGAATAATTTTGATGCAAAAACGGCACTGTTTGCCTGACTGATATGTATTCGTCAGTGCCAATAGCTATTGGGGGGTATCCCAAGGTTCTTATCCATAGAGGCCGAATGAGTTTACTTGTTAAATCTTCCATGCTTCTCTTTCAGGTTATAGACAGTCCGCCCTTCGACCGTTTTCACACAACGTAGCAGGGCAAAGTGGGTTCCGCAGACCAGAGGGCCACCTAACCTTCGAACGACATCACCCAACTAATGAGTATTGTTCACACACACACACACACACACACACACACACTCAACATAGCTTCTCCCGAAAGCGGTGAACGGGCGTGCCGCTTGTCCGGTACGCACGCGCGTCGTCATCGTTCGATTCCAAACTCACAGTTCACCTGATGCGGCATTCCATGAAGTGGTCGTTCTATTGTGTGCACAAGCAGTCATGCCCCCGCTTTACACTAAAATGAATAATTTGTTTTCAGCTTGTCTGCGAGGTCAGCGCTTGAGACTCCGAGATCACATAATCGGGCATTGACTGATTTAACCGCCCGCAAATCATTCCGGTGTTTAATGTCGGCATCTCCGTCGGCGACTTATGCTAATAGTGCGGGTGGGTGCTTTGTTACTGTGTGTGACCTAGCGAAAACTCACGTGACTCGCTCTCGAATGCGTCCTTTTCAGCATACACACGCACTCAAGTCGGAATGACTAACGTAATCATCTGACGGCCATATGGCGCCGGAGACAGCGCGCTTTTTGTTGTGTGAAATTTCGCAATTGGGTGTGCTTCTGTCTCACCCTCAGATGCACCTCAGGTTTTCACTGGCTGCTCAAAGCTAGTACTGGCTACCATCGGACAACAAACGTCGATATCGTTATGTCTTTATGACCAAGGTTGCAAGCGAAACGTCAGCGTAGCACTGCATCTGTCCTAATCCACATGCCTCGGCTGGATATCGTATGCGACCCTATTGGGACAATGCAATGCATTCGATCGGTCGCCTCCGAAAAGTTGTCAGTCAGAATGTCCAAACTTTTAGGTTTAGTGAACACTAATAACACCCTTTTGCGTGCCACGCGAAGAGATCGCGGAGATGCTGAAATACTACTGGTAGGGTCCGAACCACTGACGTTCCTAAATGATTACTTCGGGCCAGTGTTTCTTTGATGGCTAGTCGGAGGCTGTTACGGACAAACTATAATTGGCTCAGGAGGAAGAACAATTCACGCAACAAAGGGACTCTCCATCTGCGAAGCTGCCATTCGCGGAGCCAGTCAACACGATGTGGATTCCACCATTGAAAGTGACGATACATCCTGTCTAAGCGCAAGTTAGCCACACCACTAATCGATGGCTTGTGGCCGAACGGCCTAGTGTTCAAACTACCAGCGGCGACGTCGCGGGCTTGAAATTTGCCAGAGTTTTATGAGATTCATACCCAATAATAAAGGTGAAACGGTGTCTGTACAACGTTTCCGGGCTGTTCAGCCTAGATTGGCCTCACAAGACATAAAACTCACTTGAAAATCTTCAAATGTCCTCATTACCAACTGATAGAGAGAACGAGATGGGAAAATGTTACGAACTTGTTTTTGGAGGTGTTTACTATCGGGTGGCATGGGTGGGGGAGATGGCTCAGTGGTTAGAGGGCGAATTTACTGACCGGAAAGTCCGTGGCTTGAACCCGACCTCTGCCTCTCGACTTCTGTCTAGCCTTGGGTAACCTGACGGAATTCTAGTCCTCTTGCTTTCTTCAGGTGGCCTAACAGTTAGGCGCCGAAAGGGTGCTACAATTTTGATTAGGATGGGTTTCATTTTTGTCGAAGCATCTTATCTGGATGATTATCATGGCTTTAACACGCGACAATCTGCGTAGCCGTATTTTCTATGTTAGCGAATTCGTGGATAGGAGTGTGTAAGAAGATGCTATTCCGTTTTTGGGTTGTCGATGCCACTTATTATGCGGATGCGGACTCTTAAGAGCGATGGAACAAAGTCACTCATCATGGGCTTGGTTCTTGAATCCAAGGCATACTAATGGTTTGGAATTGACCACCAGACCTAACAGCCTCCGTTCTATGGCCTTCTTCCCACTTTTTCCTATTTGGAAGTAGTCAACAGGTCCTCACTGTGGAGGAGACAATACAAGATATAGCTGCCAACCGATGTCAGTGGCGTCCTTGTTGTCAGTTTCTATCCAGATCGCCTGAGTGAGTGTCTGGAGGTATAGGCACCTCGGAACGATTGTGGTAGGCTAGCACTAAGTCCCTTCCCCGTCCACCTTTACTCTTTTCTTTACAATAAGGCTTTCAAATAAATGATGGTTGTACGGCAATGAAGCATCGGTGTTGAACACCGATGTCATGCTGTCGATGATGATGTAGTCAACAGCTTGATGTTGATAGGGAACGCTGCCAGGGTGAACGACTTTTGTGGATAAAATATCTAGAGGTACGATCACGTGCCTGAACTTAGTCCACATCGCTTTCGACGGGGTAATTCACGCTCGAGAGCTGTGCAAAGCAATGGGAGCTCCAATGTCCTCACGGAGGATTTCGAAAAGATGTAGTCCAACATTCATCGAAAATGTCTCGATGCTGTGCAGTTAACTAGTTTGTCGTGTATTAGGCGGAATAAAAACATGTGAGTCTATAATTCCCTTTGGTCGGTTAAGCAACTTTGGCAGCAAGACGGTTTTCTTTCGTTTCTCTAACTGTGCACTAAAAATAGGCATCATGGAGCGTAAAATAAGTGAAATAAGTAAAACAATCCAGTTCATCATTCTAGCGCCAAATTACGCTGATGATGCTTATCATGGTCTTTTGTTTGCATAAAACTCGGCACGGCATTCTTGAGTAGTTATGGTAGTAGATGTGCTTTGCGATTAATGAGGGCGCGTTACCGAGCCTGAGTTTGTCTGCCTGCATCAGCTAATCAATCGGTTGTTGCAAGGCAGTCGATCACCAAGCCTGTGGAGGCCATCGGCCACCAGTGATATCGGAACTATCACTTGAAACTGTCAGCGTTTAGTAGTCAGTCAGTGTCGAACGAGTCTATCCACGCAGGGGGCTTTGATGTACGTCATCAATTTAACTTAGAGGTAAAATAGTGGTTGCTTTGTCTCCTTTCGTCAGCCATTTTATCTCCTTGTTTTTGTGGCATCAATTGGCTCTTTCTAGCACGCCAGTAACCAGGTCGAAACGAAACACTAACATTCGGCAAACTTCTTCTTGCTGTTAGATGTGATATTGTCAGTCAATTTCACGAGTACCTTAAATCTCCGTATTAGTTTTACTATGGAGGTAGGACCATTTCTGGCGCGCTAGAATACAGTATAAAGCATTACTGTTCACTGTTAATAGACTGACGCTAGTGCCCTATGGAGCTATTCGCGTGCCCATTCTAGGGCAGCATTCACTCAGTAGTCCTGTCTTTTCAGCAGTTTGTGGGGCGAGGTCTTTATCCATAAGAGCATTTGGTTGAGCAATAGACTGCGAGATGATATCTGTCCAATCACTGTGCTCACTGATACATCAATTAAGGGGAGTACTGTTACAAGTAGCCAGACCTTATTCGGGGTAGATGCATCTGAATGGTCCTAACCGTGGCTAAAATAAAACCAGCATTACAAAATGAAAGCACTATGGGTCTTGCGCTGGTAAAATCGAGGGATAAATCCTCGGTAATTGAAATCAGAGACTACGTTTATAAAATTAAATGCAATGATTGAATCAAGGCCTACATAGAGTAGTCAGCCTGAGTCCGGAGAAGTCTAAGCAGGCAATTAAGAATGGACCGGTCAAAGGCTCAGCAATAGCCGCTCATAGACTTGGCCTGAAAAATAATAGAGCCACAGAGTCTCTCATGGCCGGGACCAAGCACAATCCACCGTTAGTAGAATGGAATGGATACGAATGTGGAGGGTGGTTTTAGATCAACCGAATTGACGCGTGACTGTATGCTGCTCTTCATGAAATCGTTAGTAGAATTGGTTTGGATTTAGTAGATTAAGCCTAAACCTACCCAGATCTCTACTCCGTATGTGTTGGTTATCCTTCAAATATTGCACTCGGCGAGTTGCTTCTGATTGCCTTCTGGAGAAACATCGATACCGGTCTGTCTTGTCATACTCCCTGTGGTGACGGGGAGAGTCTGCGATAACGGTAGCAGACAACCACGGCCCGTTTCCTACCTACAAACAACAAAAAATCATTCACGTGTAGCACCCTTTCGGTGCCTAGCTGCCATGCCACACGAAGGAGGCACGAGGGCTGGGACACTGCCAGGTTTCCCAAGCCTAGACAGGGGAAGTCGAGAGTAAGAGGTCGGGTTCGAACCACGGACCTTCCGGTCAGTAAATTCACTCTCTAACCACTTGGTACATCTCGCCCCGAACAAGAGACCACGCCCTAATAAAGACCAGGTGCGTTTTTGGTGGAATAATGTGTACGACTTCCTGTTACTTCATCGAAGCTGCCGACAACGTCTGTTCACGAAACCTGATTCTCCGTACACGTTTTGTCTGGCTGCGTGAATTGCGAGTAGTCACAGAGCGCATTGTTCTTCTGAGCCTCAGCAGGCACGGACCAGCGTTTGGGCTGAACTCACTCGATATCGACAGCATGTGGCTTGTTTATCTGTCCTGGTAATATACCCACACATCTGTTTCTAGTGTTCAGTTCATCGTGTTGTTCTCACTTTCCAGCGCAGTCTCTTACCGTCCATTTTCTAGTCGAATGACAACACCCAATATGTGAGAGTTCTTCGTAACATCATTGTTCATGTTCGTGGAGAAATGCGATATGTGTTGTCATCACAATTCTGTGTTCCTCGGTAACTCGATACCCATGATTACCTCACATTCCACAATAATCCTTATTTAGGTCGTTTCAAGGAGGTTGGGTAAACAATCGGTGGATTTATTGCCGGGCTATGTTTCGCTTTTGACACAAAACCTTCGTCAGGCCAACTGAGTAAGTAAGCAGGCTGATTGGGGATTTAAGGCAGTCAGAGAACCAATCCGTGAGATTTCTTATGACTAGCCGACTTGATCAGTGCTGGGCGTCAGTCTGATGTTCCTGTCTATTGGTTAGTGGGGATGACTAAATTTTACGATATATTGTTTGGAGGGGAGTTGTCTTCACGTTGAACCCGGATTTTCCGGCCTAGCTTCTTCTGTCTAGGACGCCTCAATAGAATATCTCTCATGGATTGTCGGTCGTTATTTGCTTTCTCAGTGTGTTCCCAACACTCGAACACCTCCATCAGCTGTGCTGTGTGGAGAAAACCAGTTTTGCTTAGTGGAACACGCGAACTCCTCGACATTTACTCGTACATAATGGTTCGTGATTCGTTTTAATGAACCAATTGTTCATTTATAACAAGTATTCATTTTCCGCCCCGTTTCATTCTCCTCGCAGACTCTACCGGTCAGCCATTCCGATCTTGGTCTACGACTTCGCCGTCAGTCAGTCGGTCGAGTTACGTGGGCAATGGGCACCACCAACCCTCGATGGGCAACGGATCATACACGTCAAACGGATACACAGGGACGTACTACTCGGGGCAGTGTAAGTTCACCGTCTGTTTACGTGAATATGGATAGACAAAGTTTGGTGCCGGTATGCAGTCGTGACCAGAAGAGCCGGCTGAAAACTCAACAGAAACCGACTGAATTTAGCAGTTAAGCAAGCAGGTTCTGGTAGACACCATTACTCAATTTTCGACTGGTGGACATTTGAGCTCTCGGGTTAGATCGCGAATGTACTGACCGGAAGGTCCGTGGTTCGAATCCGACCTCTGCATCTCGACTTCTCCGGTCTAGGCATGGGCAACCTGGCATCATCCAAGCCCGCGTGCTTCCTTTGGGAAGCATAGCAGCTAGGTGCCGAAGAGCTGGACGTTTATCTTTTTTTTCACGTGGGATTTCAGGATCTAGATACTCAACGCAGGCCGTCGTGACTGTCTTGCAAGTTCGATGCACGAACATGAAGTTGGGTCCCCTACCTGAGGGAGGAGTCCCAAACAGAGTCAAAGCAGGAGGGGATCATATGCAAGTTTGGTGCCGTTCGATCTTGCCATTTCTAAAGGAGATGAATTTGTCGAATGTCGACTTGTCCGGTGGAAAACGTAAACGAAAATTTAAAAAAAAATGGCTGAAAAACGAAAAACTCATTTGCATAAAGTTTTGGGGACGTTCTTCGATGTATTCCTTGGTATTTCTGGACGTCATCTGAGTCAACCAAAAGACACTTTCGTGTAAAGTAATAGTTTCTAACTCAATTCGCAGTTAACTGCGAATGATTCAGACTGCGGAAAGATGCTGATCACAACTGTCGTTATTAGTACACACCGTCACATTTACTTATTAAAACATGGATGATGTTCCCCAATAACGTGTGAGCCTTGTTCCATTTCACAGATGGAATCCAACAGGGAAGACGTCCCGACATCAGTACTGAGTTCACCGAACCATCAGACAAGTGAGTTTTGGTGTTTCTCTCAAGCAGTACAACAGTGGCAAATTGGATAACTGTGTTGATGCTTCGTAAGAAAAACAAGCTTGTTTTAGTGATTCGATTGGACACATTGAGAGGGCATAGTAGCCGGCCGAGTTCTGAATGGAACGTGTTGAAGCAATATGTGCATTAAGTTGGACTAAGGTGTAATCCAAGCGTATCGCCTGCCCTAGCTAAACTGTCTCCCTGATTTGTACACTCTGGAAATAAACCAGACCTGAGGTGTTAGAGCAACCAAACGGTGGATCTGTGATAGTAGCTCAGGTAGTATAGACGATTGTTGGTTAGTTGGTTGAGTTGCGATCAAATTGCCCAGCTCAGCAAACAAACCAAAGATCATCGCAGTTCAGAGACCAATGCGGAAACGCCACTGTGCGACCAATCACTGTAACAGTCCCATCAATATGACCCTGTGATCATCTCCGAAAAGATTTTACTATGGAAAAAAACTTTGGCTGGTGATTTGGTTTTCTGGCTTTTGTCGTTGGTTGAAAATCGGATTCAAAGTATCGATCGTCACGGAGCGCTTGATCGTCTTGAGCTTTCACCGGGTAACGCCAATTGGCAAGCCCCCACCCGTACGTGGAGGAACGTGTTTGCACCTCAGCTGCTTCCTTTTCGAACTTTTCGAACGCACTTTCGTTGATACTTCCACGTTTATACATTGTGTCCGGTGATTGTCGATACGCCATCTGTCCGGTGACGACCATAATGTTTAGTGGCAATCATCCCAATGCGCAGCAACCAACGTCGCGGTACACACGACCCGTGATTTCGGAGCCGGACCATTCCGTGATGTTCAAGAATGGCTTGCTATGGACAGTCCTTGGCCAATCACTTGGTAATCACCGTATGCGCTCCCTTGACTAGGACAAGAATACAACCACTCAGTTCACGCATCACCACCCCGTGAGCTTACGGAAGCTTTTGAATTCCAACACTTACAGAACTTCGTGGTGCATCTCTTTTGCATCCCTTCTGATTGATACTCCGATCGTGTTCACGCATTGTGAAGACAAATCTAGTGTTCACGGTGCCTTGAACAAACCGGGCTTGTCTAGTAACGGAGCCCAATAAGTGAGTGGCGGCTCTGAGTCTTTCACATGGGCATTTGGTACAACCGTGTGACACAGTGCCAGAACAGTGATAAAATGTCTCGCTAAGGGACCGTTCGCTTCCAATCATCCCAACCGTACCCTGACTTTCATTGAGTACCCAGATCAGACTCATTCAAATCCGAGTTGAACAACAAAGACTTGCCAAAGCCAATGAGTTCAAGGCTGACTTGCGAATCGACAAGTTCGATAATACATCATATATGCGGTAAGCGGCGAATGAGTTATTTATCGAGCGCTCGGTTCTATACCCTCTAGGTTCATCCCATCGGGTCCAAACGGGACTGACAAAGAAGGTGAACAAAGTGAAGGAAAACAACACGCTGAGGAGAAATAGAGTATGTTTATTTGATGTTGAGCGATGGGAGTAAAGCTGAGCATGAGCTTTGATTCTTCCCCAATGTAAAACCGAATACCCGTTTAGTGTTCTTGAAAGATGCGTCACCTCTCACTAATTGATTGGGTTCTACCGGGTACCGTACTCCAGCAGACACTCGGAGTACACCAGCACTCGTTCACTCCTCGTTTCAAGTCTTCTATCATCTACTTTTTTGCAGAAACGGTGGTGGTAGTGGTGGTCCTAGTGTTGTAAGTCTTCCAGTGAATGACACATCAGCGCTGTTTAAAAAAAAACTAGCATTAGTTGACTGATTTGTTGATGTGTACACCTCGGGATTGGGAGCGCTGCCTCGAAGGCTACAATTTCCTTTTCACTGTCAAGTTGTTCCTAACGCATCGGTAAATAGATATACACAGGCACAGTCAACAGTGGAAGTAAAAGAGAAAACAGACGAGCAGCGACATTGTCAGCCTTTGCCTAAATGGCAATCTTTGATTTTCAGATTTGATTGTTTTGCCTCTGGCGTTGTTTATTAATTTTTCCATTCGCTTCGCTATTGCAGTCATTTCCAGCCTCCAACCGAAGTGGGCTACAACACTCAAACATCAGACTATCGCTCTTCAAATCCCAATACGGTATGTTGTTTCGCCTTTCTTGTGGGTACCTTTTATTCATGGTTCATTGATCTAAGCATGAATTCTCGGTTGGTTTCATACCTCCATACATGTCTTCACAGTCGGTTGTGAAACATCGACTGGGGAAGTGATTGTGTTGTCCACTGGAACAGACAACATGCATCTCAGATACAAATTCAAACGATCATCATTACTTAGTGCATGTGCTTTTGTCATGACAGGAGAGGAGAGGAGTTCATTAGTCCGGTTCTTAAAGAACTCAACATGAAACGAACAACTTCTTCTGGAAATACACTCATTTGCACATCCATTTGGTCATGTCCGTAGGTTTTCTCCAGATGCTACTCAAGGTCCAATGGAGGCACGATCCCGTGGCACTTACTCCTTTCTGGAGCCCATTCCGGTCGCGTGTGTACCTTTAAAAGGAGACTTGACTGAATCCCACCTGAATCTTCCATTTGTGGTATTCTTCAACATTTTTGTATTCTCCAGAGGCTGCCTGATGTTTCAGGGGATACGACATTCGAGATACAGTTTCCTGAGTGAACCTCACTCACGAGGTTGCTGAAGGCTCTTCGACAGTCCATGACCGGATAGCCATTAATTGGAATCAGTTTCCTGGTGAACCTCACTCACGAGGTTGCTGAAGGCTCTTCGACAGTCCATGACCGGATAGCCATTAATTGGAATATGTCGCAAAAAGACCGCATCACCTTTCATTTGGTATGATATTCCAGATATCACCGTATATTTTCTTGCGGTAGACTACTCGAACGGCTGCTGGGAATAGTTCGACAGCCCACGATGGTTTCACCCTTCTTGATCCTTATCAGCTATGCACGGCCGGAATTCGTGTGCAAATTATCACTTTCGTGAACTTGGTATAATTCGAGTTCAAGGCGAACGTGAGGTTGACAGAAACTGCAGAGCTATGTCTACCTGACGCGTCGCAAGAAGGAGAAACCGGTCGTGGGTTGCTAGAGAGTTTTAAGCAGTCGCATGACTAGCGTCCCTTCAAGAAAACAAATCATTCTACCTGTTTTATTAGCAGGTTAGCGTGGATGTCATCAGTTTGATGAGTGATAAGCGAGAGATAAAGTGGATAACGAGTGTCAAGTGGGAATGCAGAAATGAATCCGATTGTGAGTTGGTTGTTTTCAGAAGAATGATGAGCGAATTATGCGAGGTTTGAGAAGGAACATCGCTTGGATCGAAACTTGTCCATTGGCTGGATTTTTCCCTTTGCCGTAGTCGTACCGGATGAGAGTTTGTCTTCGTCCAAAGATTCTCATGGTTCCAAATGGACGTAGGAGTGCAGCGATCAAGTAACTAGGTCACCCCATGAGGGAACTATTAAAGGGCGCGGAATTTTATCTATCCTTCTTGGATGGTTAGTCCAAATAATCGGAAAAACATCGTAAGGGGCGCCACTAATGTGGACGACTTCGGTCTAACGACTGTGCTTGTCAAGTGATACAAGAGGTCATTGAACTGTTGATATTCCGAATGGATGGTGCCTCAGACTACTGTTGATCACCGTAACGGGAATAAAGACGCCGAAACTATTGCACTCATCTCGCGGACAGCCTATGACCTAGCAACGAAGCACCAAAGCACTAACCAACAAAATCCGATCAGCTGACAACTGCCGCATCCCTGGATGGAGGCCTGGATCGCAGCTCATCAATGTCAAGTGACATGGCGCATTCATAGCATCAATGCACCCCCCGTATCAAAGCCATCTTCTTTACTGCATAGCTGCCTGGCTTCCCGTTTCTTAATACAACTGGATGGATTAGAGAAACTGTAATTTTTAAAGGAAACTACTCAAAGGTTGCTGAAAACTCTTTGACAGCCCATGACCGGTTACACTCTTGGGACTTATCGGGTAAACACAGTCCCCGAGTTTCCGTCAACCTTATGTTCCACTTGAACCCAAACTGCACGAAATTAGCGAGGTACACTCATTTGCCTGTCAGTTTGGTTTTCACGGGAGACTCAGCTGAATCTCTCGTTTGTGCTATGCTTCAACTGACTTTAGGTCAACGATGCAAACTTATCAGAGATCCACTCATCGCATTGATGGACGTTAATAACGGAATTCAGTACCGTAACATGCTTATCCTGGTCGGTTATAAAATTGTGAGCACCATTCTAAGAGTTTTCTTTCGCTTGTCGTCTCGGTTTATTTGTCTGCTTCGGCCCAGTGGATCTGCGTGCCGACCAATCCAGTCACGGGTCTAATTAGTAATGGTCAAGAGTTACGCCCATGATTATGGCCTTAGGTGATCATGAGAGATGCAGATCACGGATGCAGTAATAACATATTTTGGTGCCATTATTATCTTACTTTCGGCGTGGTCGGTTAATACTATTTTAAGCAAGCATGTGATCTGACCTCATCCGATATTTCTTTCTGTACTTCATGCGTATTGGTGGCACACATACGTTCAAGAAAACCACCCCTTAACTCAAGAAACTTGTCGGGGTATATTTCCAAAGCTGTAAAATCTGTATGCACGGATCTGGCTAAGCTGCTGACCAGTTTGGATGTCCATCAGATCTGTGCAATGGGCCGTTGTAGTGCTTTTCAAAGGAATGAGCCGTATTCGAAGCTTAGAAGCTGACACAGCGACCGTTTGGTTGTTTTCGATGTATTCTGAATCGCTTCCTATTCGCCAACTGTAGCTTTTGAGTAGAGACAACCTGTGTGAATGAGGCATACGAGCAAGCGCACCTCGGTAGATCAGTCAATGATTACTCGTAAAGTTTGTGGGGGGGGGTATTCTGTTAGCCGACAATCGTGCTGTTTGAGAACACATTCGCAAGTGTGTTCCGCATTAACTTCTGCTAGAAAGGTGTGCATCCACGACAACTCCGATTGTGTATGCTGCCAGACGATTGCAGCGGGGCCTATAGGAGAAGTCGGGTGCCACAGCATTCTTCCGTACTCTGAAACTTTCGGAGAAGTTTGGAACTGTTATTGTAATGGTTCTTGTAAAAAGAGAAATAGCCTCACCCCACTCCCGTGTAACGCACTGTATAACTACACGTTGAAGATGACGACAATGGCGGTCAGATGCACCCCTTCGGACGATCGATTTTCCGAGATGCTTGCAAATTGCTTCACCTAAATGGTACCCGAGTGGTTGTGGACAGAGGTAAATGCTGGACGTCAAAGCATACACTGGTGAATCCCTTCTCTGTATTATCCACGACGCGCAACTATCTGTAAAAACTACGAACGTATGGACATCTTCAAGGAAACTCAACGTCTCCGCTCGGTCAGTTCCACGTGCGACACTATGGTTGACATCTGCAAACCATCGTTATCCATCCACACTTCAAGTTTTAACTCGATAGGTTACCTGAAGTTCTACCCAATACTCTGCTGGACAGATTGCCTTCAGGAGAATCACCTTCATCCGTTTCGTTGAAACAGGAGAAAGACGCAAGTTACGAGATGTCAGTAGTTCGTTTGCCTCCATCAATCGTCGATACACAGTAGGTATTCATAAGATAGACAGATGATAGAAGAATAGTGAATAAAGCTAGACCACCACTCAAGCCAGATGACATGGTACACAAAGGGAATGTTTTCATCTGTTTGCTACTTACAGATGACCCTGAAAGAGCAGACACCTATCGTAAGAATAAGACAGGTCTGAATGTAATCCGTGTTGCAACTCATTTTAGCCACTAAGATGGTCGTACTGCAGGCTAGTTAGTCGACCTAGTCCAGCCCATCTACCTGGCTCGTTACTTGATCGCGACACGTGCCCACCGGTGGAATTGATCGACCCCCGATAGAGCTCAGTGAGCACCTTCAAAAACGTGTTATATGTCAGCCACGGTTGATCACACGGATTCCGGAAATCCGGTATGGAATCGGGGCACTCTTGGTCTTGTTGCGCCCTTCCAACTTGTGTTTGCTGAAACGTTTAGTGAAGCCATACAGGTCGATGGTAAACGACCGAAATTAGTAATCGGGAACTCCCGCCATCCGTGGAATTATCCCCCCCTGCAAAATAGTATGCCGTTTATTGCCGATCCCGACACTGGCAAACACTTTTGAAGCGCTGACATCTTGCAAGATCCACATTTCACTATTACGCTTGTAACCTCAGGTATAAGGCTCCCAGCAGAATCGTTTTCCAAGTTCCTAAATTCATTTTGACGGAGGGTGGTGAAAAACGCCCATATAGACCTTCAGAAGGATTGTTCAAGGTAGATGCTGTTCTTGCGAAACATTTTGTTGTCAGTGGCTTGTTCCGATAGTCTGAGTTAAGTGTACCAAATGCAAATTGACTGATGCTTCCTTACCTTCGGAACATACAATCCGTGGGTGTTCTGTTAAGTTGGATTTCCGCAGTAACAGTCGGATATGCGCCGTTCATCAACCGTTTATGCTTTCTATAGGGCACTGCTCTCCGAAGATAGCTCATACCAGCTGGCTGAGCGCCCAGTATCCTGTCTTCAGAAACTGGAATCGCCATGACACCTAAGCGGTTTATAGTCCTGTGACAAATATCCCCGTGTGGCATCATCACCGCTTCGTTAGAGTCATTACATTACAAGCATGCGCTCACCGCCGCATCGGTTTGAGTTGAATGAGAGAAGTGACACGCACTGTTTTGGTGCGTAATAGGTAGTGTTGGGTTGGTCTGAGGTGAGTGGAATTAGCGGGGCATCAAGAAGTCTGATCGCGAATGCTTTACAGTTGTACTGGTAAACCGAGAATCGACGTGGGCAAGCAGGGATGCTGAATTACGACTCTTCTGAGCAGCAGATGCATCTGCGATCTTGTGATGTGACACCGCCCTGGTTATTCACACTCAAATCTAAAAGACACTCGGCTTTCCTTACCTTTCCTCATCTCCGGTTCTTTTCAGGATGAGATTCACTGTCGCCCATTGGCTGCAGTGGTGTGGAAGTCGAGTGCCTTTGCATGGCGTTACCATTGCTCTTAATCCGAACTGAGATTGTTTGAAAGGAGCACG